CTAGGCTCCCGAACTAGACGATCGTCTCAAGACGCAACGATCGCACGGGATCTACCATCCGGAATCTGGTGGGATGACTAAGCTGACACGTAGAGGCCCTACCTGGTGCGCCAATTGTCGGTGTTTCGAAACCGGGGGTCCTTAACCGACTAGTGAATTTGTGCTGCGTGCTCCCAATTCCGGATGGAGATGCAAAGAGACACAAGGTTTATACTGGTTCGGGCAATGGATGCCCTACGTCCAGTCTGAGAAGATGTTCTTGTATTCCTTGCACCGGGGTGCTCGTAGTAGAGGGTTACAAGCTAGGCGAGAGAGGGAGTTCGTCCCAGGTCTCTGTGAGGGGAGGTGATATGAATTACAGAATGAGGCGTGTTGTTCGTGCGAGTATTCGTGATTCTATCCGTCATCCCTAGAAACGGCCCTGGCTGCCTCCTTTTATAGCCGCAGGGAGGAAACCAGGAGTACATAAGAGAGCTACACATGGAGCAAGGACTATTCGATGACGTATTTACTCCTGGAGCAGCATGGCATTGTCGTGGGAGTTCCCGTAGATGTCTAATCGGTATGGTCTCCACTGCAAGTAACATGCTGCGCATTTGTTAACTTGGTGGATTGCAGAGGCTCGGCGGCCATCGTAGCCGGTCATGCCGAGGCCTGTTGTGCCGAGGCCTGAGAAGTGACCCAGGTGCAGATGCGGGTCTCAGCGGCCATCAGGCGGAATAGTGCGAGACGTACGTCTACAGGACACGGTACCTGTATTGTCAGTAAGGGATGGTAGAAAAGGTGATCTGACCGTTGTCCCGTCGCTCCTGTTGCAGCGCACTGCCGATCGTGGCTTACGTAGCGGGTGCAGCTGAGCACATTAATCGGATGTGACATCCTGCCAGAGAGACTTTTGAGGCGGAGGCGACGAGGTTGGGACGAGCCCGGCCGGCGGCGGAGGGAGCGTGGCCAATTCGTCGTCCGAGGCCCTACCGGGGTCCCGGGCGGCGGACGGTCGAGGCGGAGTAAGATCGGTGAATCCGAGAGGCCTGTCGAGGGGGGCTCGGGCGAGACGGAGCGGTCGGTCCGCTGATTCGAGGCTCTGAGGAACCCGTTCGACTCCCCCACGTTGCGATGTCCTTGGTGCAGGAGTTAGGCAAAGCCTGATGGTCGGTAACCCCTGCTTCTGTCTTGCCGTCGCAGATGGCGGAGGTTGACGCGACCGGGCGTGTAGTCGGTCACTTCACAGATCTTGTGCCATCGCGGCGTCTGTCGGAGTGGTTGGGCGCTTGGATGCGACGTTCGGCCAGAGCAGTTTGGTTGAAGAGGCGGCCATGGGGCTGGTGCCGAGCCGGCCTCGCGCGAATCGGAGAATTGGCACTTCTTCCGAGGCCCCGGGCGAGGGGGCCTCGACGAGGGGGCCTCGGCGAGGCGGTCTCGGGCGAGTCAAAGAATCGTTCGCTTCCGCTGGGGCTCGGCGACGGGGTCTCGGGCGAATCGGAGATTTCGGCCGAGACCTCGTTCGTTTATTCCGTTGGTTCTGTTCTTAGGGTCTAAGCAGTTTTTCGACCTTTGCTTGGGGTACCCTATTTTCGGGTATCCGACAAGTAGTATATTTCTATATGCACTATTTGATTAAATCCGATGTCAAGTGGGGGCCTTGGGGAAAGTACTCTAGCTTGCTACCAGGAGCTCGCGTGTTCGTACATAACATCGGACGTTCGGATACTAATTAGGAGGACTAAATATGAGCTAATTAGAAAAACTAAAGACTATGTTAACAACTTAAGTTGAAGATAATGACCTATTGCATTGCAACGAGATCCAATACGTATTGGAATAAGATATCATATCATTGTTGGACGTGAGTGAGTTGTAACACGGGTCAAGAGTTTGAGCCAAAAAATAAATTAGCTTAGTGGTAAGAATATTTGTTTCTTAAGGATTGAAAGATTAAAATGGTTGTGGTCTCTTATTTATTGTTTGTTTTTTACTCTTATTATATTTATTAGAACACAAAAAGCCCAGGTGGAGAAAACCACGAAAAACAATGAAAACAAATTCAGAAAAGGTGAGCTAGAGTCCAAAAACAACCACGAGAAGAAAAATCTGAACATACTTGAAGCCGAGTAAAAAACGGTCATGACAAAAATTGGAATGTATTCTAGAGAATATATAGCCACAGAAAAAAAAAATCAGAACATATTAGGAGCCAAGTGAAAAACGTCCAAATGAGAATGTAAAGCAAAACGTAAGTGGAGCAAGTAAAAACTGACAAACCAGAAAAATAATGAAAAAGAACAGAAAAGGAACGAAATGAAGAAATTCTACCATTCTTTCCTCTTTATTAGATTTGTATTCTATATTTTTTTATTTGATTAAGATTCCTATTCAGGTTACTCGGAAACGGAGAGATCTAATTATATTAAGATTCCTAGTTGTCCATATTCTTATATTTTTCTATTTGGATTAAGATTCTTATATTCAAGTTATCCGGAATCGAAGAGGTCTAATTGGATTAGGATTAGTAGCTATCTAGATTACCTTAAGTAGTCTTGCACTGTTATATAAAAAGAGGGGTTATAGACGGTTTCCACATCCACAAAGTTAGTTATTTCCAAAAAAAAGATAGTTAAAACAGGTCGGGACAAAAAAATGGGTGGAAAGAAATTTTGTCTAATATTAAGTATAGATAAGGTCTGAACCATCAGGAGGCTCTTAGATTTAATATAGTTTGATTTAGAAGACAAATTTAATAGAGTTTGATTTAGTACAAACTAAAACTGGACGGGGGTAGTATGCCAAAAGCATAACCGTCCATTTCGTAGTACTCTTTGCATAACAGGTGATTTATTTTCGTTTTCCCGTCCCGGCATATGCCTCTAAATGTCACGAGTAGGTTCCGGACCTGTTGTTTAGGTCTATTTTACACAAAAGGAGTCCCTAACCCTTTGTTCACCCTAACATGAACTAACTCTATCTTGGTTGGTTCGGTTCGGACTTGTAATTTTCTAGATATTCTAAAATTGTTGATCTGTTCTTTCAGCTATCTACGGTATGCCTCTATCGAGACACCTCCGATTTGCAGAGAAAATAGAAGGCTTAGTTAAATTATTTGTCTCTGTATTTCTATTTCTATTTTTTAAAATAAAAGATACCACAAATATAAATCCTTTTTTAACCATGGCCTCACTAGTTCGTTCGTGTTGGGTTGGGCCTCCACACTTTCGGCGGCCTTTCTTGTCCAATGAGTACACGAGTACACGATTCATTCCAAATTATAAGATATTTTGATTTTTTTTTTAGATACGTTGCTTTCTGCTGTATATTTAATCATAGTGTTTATCTAAGTGCATAGGAAAAGCTATGTATTTAGAAAAGCTGAAATGTCTTGTAATTTAGAATAGATAGAGTACAAAGCTACAACACTTTGACGAGAAAACTTCAAATATAAGCCAACATATCATACACATAACACAAAGATTTAGTATTAATTTTCTTTGAAATACAGTACATACATTCATGCACACCTTATGCCTACGGCCACAATTTTTCTTTGAAATACAGTACATACATTCATGCACACCTTATGCCTACGGCCACAATCATCGATGAGTACTAATGGAACTTTGAGGTTATTTCCAAACTTGGGAGTTCTACTTTGGACTTCATTTCGAGCTAAATTTCTCAAGATAAACAAACGTTCCAACCAAATAATGTACCTTGTTTGAGAGAAAGAGGCGGTCAAGAATGTGTCAAACTAACATACTACTTAAGTAATGAAACTTTATCCTTTAACTCCAATTTCAACTCATTTAACTTGGATTTTTTCAACTGGTAATTCGAACAATTAGTCACGGATTGTCATGACCTGGCTCTGGGCCCATATCCCTTGTTTTAGGGCCCATATCCCTTGTTTACTCCTACAGGATTTTCATGACCAGCTATGGGCCATAGCATTAGAAGGTGGATCATGGTTTGGGCCTACGTGCCTTTAAATGTGTTAGGTTTGGCCCATATATAAGAACCAATCGAAATAGTTCTGCCACTGCCAGCCAGGGATCTATTTGTAAAAAGATGATTGCAAAATCGTGAAACTGAAAAAAAAAAAAACACCCTGACTTCACCAGTTCAACGCCACTGCCTTTTCTTCTCCCGTTCACCCGGCGTGTGCTCTCTCTCGTGCGGCAACTGGGCGACCGCCGACGCCCTTCACCAGGCCTTCGCCGGCGACGAGCACCCACCAGGTATGCGCATCCCTTCTCTTCCACTCCTGTCGTGCGAAACCGAGACAACCCGAACCCTAACTTAAGCTGTTTGGCTTTCTGTATTTGGATCTGATCTAATTACAAGTGTATAGATTCCTGCTACCTGATTCCTTTGCAAAAAAATGTTGTGTAATGGTAGTAGTTCTCGACCACTTCGCTGTGACTGTGGGCTGATTGAATCCAGTTCTTCTCTTACACATTCAGTTACTTCTAGTTTATATATGTGCTGCGTGGTTCATTTAGGTTCGACACTTCTACCCATGGCGCTGTTGCTGATAAGTTACCAAACGTTTGGGGGTATGGCTTGAATGTGCCGGTCACTGTAGTCTAAGTCGTTCTGGCCTTAAGCCTTGAGGAGATCTAATACTTGTGGAATTTAATGTAGTGAGATCTCATCGGCAATTGGATTATCATGTGTCATTGAGTGTCCTTTTGTGACATAATTATTGAATGTGCTTTTGTGGTTTGATTATTGAGTGTGCATTGGATGATTATTGATGTGGTGGAACCATCTAAATTTCAGCTTCCATTAATTATGTTTTTGCACTGTTGTTTTTATTACTTGATCGCGGTTCCATGGACTGGTTGACTACACTCTGTACTGTCTATTTATTATGGAAAATGTTCCAAACAATCACCAGAGATACTCTTTAACTATTTTATTAATGTGTACCTGTTGGGAAGGGGCTCAAATTTGTTCATTTTGTTCTTAAGTGCCTTTTTCTGCCATAACTCATACAGGGCATGAAAATGTCAGCAAGTGCTTTGAAAGATCTCAATATTTCTCAATCAACAGACCTGGAGAATGGAAAAGACAATTCTGTGAAATCCTGCATTAGCAAACCTGTGTTGAATGGCAACAGTTGTGCCAACGAGGAAGAAAGTTCTCTGTCTGCTTGCCCTGATGCTGTGACGAATGGAAATGTGGCTGGAAATGCAGACGTGGAGTACATTGATTCTGAGAATCTAGTAGATCTACCAGATGTCGATGCCGCTCTAAGTGTATGGAACCTGTTTGCGTATTTGTGATATTTTATTGGACAGATTGGTTTTTCTTTGTTTTTGGTTCTATTCAAAGCTAAGTTTTATCGTTTCTACTTTTTCAACAGACCTTAGTTAAAAGGTTGGATTCAAAGGACTGGGTTATGACATGTGAAGCTCTCAACAATGTTCGTCAGTTGGCAATGTATCACAAGGAAAGATTGCAGGAGCTGCTGTAAGTTGTTCCCCATCCTATCATATGCACAAGAAATTTGTTTCCCCGTTGGAAAATCCTTCAGATATCTTTTGGAACCACTTGTCCATGCGAGTGATAGAGAATTGCACCATATCTCCTTTATTAATTGGTTAGTACGAACTGTTTAAATGCAGGGAGCCTCTAGTTCCTCTTATCGTGAAATCAGTGAAGAATCCCAGAAGTGCTGTATGCAAAACAGCACTAATGACTTGTGCTGACATCTTTAAGGCCTATGGTGACCTAATGGTTGACTCTATTGATCCACTGGTAAGTATTGCTATTCATTTAAATTTTCTTCTATTAACTATAAGGTATCTGAAAACATCTTTCTGTCAAATGCTGCATTACCAGCTAGTGCAGTTGTTTCTAAAGGCTTCACAAGATAAGCGATTTGTCTGTGCAGCTGCTGAGGCAGCTCTTATATCGATGACTAGTTGGATCTCCCCTTTACTACTGTTACCAAGAATGCAGCCCTACCTCAAGAACAGGAATCCGCGGATTCGAGCAAAAGCATCAGTGTGTTTCAGCAAGAGTGTACCTTGCCTAGTAAGTTAAATTTCTTGCCTGAAAATTTTGTACAGCTGCAGCTTTTGTAGCCCCATTTCTTACTGTAAAAAGAAACTTAAGATAAGAAAAAGATTAATTTAATCCAGATTATAGTTTCCTTATCTGATGTACCAAGTGATCGATCAGGTAGATGTTTATAATTAATACCCTTGCATACTAGCCTTCTCCATCCAATATATTCCAGATCTTTTTAGTTTATTTTTCAGATCCTTTGTTGTATGTTCTAAACATTGAACCTCCTGTGTCAAAAAGTTGAACCTAGTTGACGTGTTACAGATTTGATGGTTGAGAATATTAAGAAGGCAGATGTGCATTTAGCTGTAGGCTGTATGTTTTTCATGCCTTAACTCATACTTTGTTGTCATGTTCAATAGAGCAACAGTGATTGGAGGTTGGATACATCAATTTGTGCACTGTAGATCTACATGCACAAACCAGTATTTGTTGTCCTGCATTTGAGAGATACATTGCTATTCTTGTTGTTTAACAACAATAATATTCTCTTTTTGTCCAGGATGTGCAGGGAATCAGAGAATATGGAATGGATAAGCTCATCCAGATTGCAGCAACCCAACTTAGTGACCAGCTTCCTGAATCAAGGGAGGCTGCTCGCAACCTGGCGCTGGAACTACAAGCATTCTATGAGAAGTCTCAGGCCTTAACTTCTGACGAAAATGAGGGCGAACCTTGTGTCTCACAAGATGCTGAATCATGGGAGGCTTTCTGCCAGTCCAAGCTTTCTGCCTTGAGCGCCCAAGCCATCCTTCGTGTGACCACCTCTACTGCTCCAGAAGAGGGTGTTGCTTCTACTACAAATACTACAAAAGAGGGTGTTGCCTCTACTACAAATTCTACAAAAGAGGGTGTCACCTCCGCCCCAAAAGAAGGTTTGTCTGTGGATTGCTAGCATATAAGCCACAAGGAGTTTGTAGATGCATCGAGAGCGCGATTGTCCACCCCTTTCACTTTTTTTTTTGCTGTACATGCTTATGGCTGGTCCTTTGATACATCCAGTTGGGAATCTGTTGATTATTGGTTCAGGAATTCAGGTGTGACCGCGGTGTTAATATTGGTGCGACATATCTGTTATAGTTGATTGTATAATCATTTTGTTCCACTTGGTATTGATTGGTCAGGTGAAAGTAGAATTTCCTCCACGGTTCAATGTTATATACAGTCCTTTTTCTGCCACATGGGGTGCAGGTTATGTTATTTTGAAGGAAATGCCATTGGCATTCTTGTGCCGCTCTTATGTTGTACTTTATGTTGTTCATTCCGGTATTTACAGCATGTCTCTGCTTTCACTGTGGTATCAAAATATGAAACCACTGGTCTTGTGTTGTCGCCAACATACTCCGTTACTAAGACACTGACAGTATGATCCAGCAATGGCCTTGGCGTGCCGGTGCTTAGCAAAAATAGAAGGACCATCAGGGGCCATCGGATGGCGGGACCCCCAAGAGGGAAGCCCGATGAAAAGGCAGAACATGAAGAGGAGCTCACGGGAATAGTTTGTTGGAACTGCGAAACTCCTCTCCCTTAGGGCCTAATTGATTGGTAGCCAAATTTTAGTTGCTAAAACTAGGGCACCAAATTTTTGGCCTCTATCTGGTTGGTTACCAAAATTTGTCAATACATCACATTTAGCTTGTCAAATCTGTGGCAAATATTTTTGCCCAACTTTTGTTTGCCAAATAATTGGCTTGGCAAATTTGGAAGCCAACCAAACAAGCCCTTAATCCATTATAGAATGGAGGCACAGACAACAAAATACTCAGGTTTCATGTCTATTCTCCTAGTATCTGGTACAAAATTCCACGCGTAGATACGTGTGTAAGATTCTATACCCGCCGGTACGGATGTGGGTATGCGCCCGTTAGTGCTAAACGTACAAATACAAAGAAGTTCATCTACTGATAATGATAATCTAACTTGTGGGTATGGTTATCCTTTTTTTTTTTTTGAGAAATTGTGGGTATGGTTATCCGGGCCAAATCAACAGCATACCCAAGTTATCCGGCCCAAATCTACCCGTACGTCGCGTACCCATGTTATCCGGCCCAAATCAACAGCAGCCTAGAAATAACGAACTCCCACACGGGTGCATCCAGAGCCCATCCTGTTTTGCCTGGCCATGCCACCTTTTTTTTGTTTGAGTGGGCTAATGATTCAGGGCACCAGCGCATGGGCCGTCTCGTCGACGCCTTTGACCATTCCCCGGCCGGCCGGTACAGATCGTGTGGTGCGCCGGTCCACGTCCACTCCGAGGGTCCAACGCCCGGACCCAGGAGAGCGACCCGCGGTGCACGGGATGGCGGCCTGCCTCGCCGACTGGCGACTGGCGTGGCGTAGCTTTGCTTTTGCTGCCGCCGCGTCGCCGCGCGGCCCCTGCGCATGTACGTACGTGGAACGGCGACGTCGCAACGCCACGGTAGCGGAGGCTAGCTAGTTCGCGGCATGTGAAAGACGCTGCGAAGAACTGAAAAGAGAGGAGACGAAGTTTCAAACAAAAAAAGGAGAGGAAATTAACCGTACGTAGGGGGGAGCAGAGGGATTAGCTGCGCGTTAATTACTAGCCGTCCATTCACTGTCGCTGTCGTTATCCGCCCTGTTCTCCTGCCTAGAAAAACGGCGGCTGAACAGAGCCAGGCCTACTACTCCTATAGCGCCTATTACTTGCGAGTACAAAAGGCGAAGCGAAAACGATGGACGTGCCAAAGCGGCGGTACGGTGCGGATGGGTATTCCCGGACGGGCGACACGCAGTCACGCACTGTGGCTGTCACAGTGTCTTCGTACGGGCAAATGTATTTGTAGTACTCGTGCCAAGATCGCAAGATGGGCACGGCGCCTTGGATGGTCGACCTGACCGTTGGCGGCAGAATGTAGCGAATCATCGAGCCCCACGTGTAGCGTACACTACTCGCATGTGTTGACGACTTTCTCCGAGTACCACAAATCCACAATGAGTAACCGTTTTTTTTTCCCTTCGATTCGAAGGGAGCGTTTTATTATTCTTTGTGACGAGCGAGTGCTGAATAGTAAGATCAGGTGTTTAGAGCCAAAACTAGTTATTAGGGGAGATACAAAACGTATTTTAGGTTTTGAAGGTCTTCTCTCCAGCGGAACGAGAAAATCCAATCCCAATAAGAAAAATAGTGGATTAGGGAGGAGAGGTCTCTCATTTATTTGAGAGGTGGGAGACTATGATTGGAGGGACCGAGACAAAATCTTTTCTCATTAGGGTTTGGTTTGGGGAATTGCTGGAGTTACAAGATCTCTAAAATAACAGTTTTTTTTATTGGGGTGTTAGGAAAGGAAGACTGCCGGAGATACTCTTACGTACGTGAGCTTTAGACCGGAAATCAACGCATCTGAGTTGGAGGTCTTTCAGCTCAGCACATGTGCTTAGCTAGATTGGATAGGACATGCTTGTCATTTTTCTTGAAAGACCCAGATATCCGGCATTTGATTAATAATAAGAAGAGGTAGTACTCACCTGAAGGCTGAAGCCTCAAGGGCAAGTGATTTTGATTATCCTCATTGTGTTCAATAACAAGACTTTTGGTGATCAGCCAGATTCCATATACGTACGTGAGTGCCTGTGTGTGACTGTGAGTGGTGTTAATAAAGAGAAGCGAGGAAAAAAAACTATTCGCGATCATTTACCACGCGATGAGTTCATGGCAGATCGCACCCCCCGGAGTCCGGACGACGGAGCGGCAGGCGAGAAGTGCGCTCTTGGATTTGAACTGCATGGTCATTCTTAGGGGGTGTTTGGTTCATGGACTAATTTTTAGTCCCTGTCATATTGGATGTTTAGACACTAATTTGGAGTATTAAATATATTTTAATTACAAAACTAATTACACAGATAGAGACTAATTTACGAGACGAATCTATTAAACCTAATTAATCCATCATTAGAGTATATTTACTGTAGCACCACATTGTCAAATCATGCACTAATTAGGCTTAATAGATTCGTCTCGCAAATTAGTCTCCATCTATGTAATTAGTTTTGCGACAAGTGAATCTAAAAATAGTCCCTGGAACCAAACACCCCCTTATTCGGTGGGCCTGCCGCCATAATGCCTCGCGGCGGTATCCGTAGAAAGCTGACAATCGGGCCCCACGGCATCGTACCCGGAACACAGCCTGATTGGCGTCTTAAATTGGCCATGAAATATTGATGAAACGGGGGCATACCTGGACACCGAACGGACTACGGGGGAACAGCGCATTCCTCGCCTCCACCGTTAACATGGCAGTATGTACGGCACACTCGATTGGCAGTTGGCACCGTGGCACGGGCAGACGTGAGTACGTGACGCGCCTGCGTGTGGCCTGTCGCGTGCGCAGCTGGAGTGATCGCCGCCGTTCCCTCTCCGCTCCGGCCGGCCGCCTGAGGTTTTGTATCTGGGAGCCACAGAGAACATGGCATGTACTGGATCGTGCGAGCAGCGCTAGATGGATGTACGTGCGCTGCTCCACCCAACAGACCTGCCAGAAAAAACTGTTCGTTTCTCCGGGCCTGTGGTACGCCCGGACAGTCAACAAGGCCGCAGCACAGCAGTACCAGCAGTCTAGCATGACCACCACATAATGCGATAATCCCAAAGCCTTTTGTTTTTGGTTCCTCTTCTGTAGCACTGTGTGTTCGATCCATCATAATGGATGGTGACGATGATTGGGTCAGAAAGAGGACCCGAAAAGTTGCAGGCCCCTTTTCCGTTTGTGGCGACTGGCGAGCTATCCATCCGGCTACCCTCCCAGCATGATAGGCGGCGCTGCGCCAGCAGTCATGGCCCCGACCCCGGTGATGGTGGTGGACTGGTGGTGCGGCGGGTGTCGACCCCAGCGCCGTAGAGGAGACGAGAGGGGTCCAAAGAATCCGAACACTCCTCGGCCTGCCCAGCCATGAGCAGCCACTCGACTCCCTCTATCTGGTCGATCCGTCTCGCCGACCGACCATTGGGTAGCCCTCAAGAAAGCACCAGGACCAGATCGAATACCAGCCACGGCCCCTTTTCAGGCTTGCCAGCTGCTGGTTGTGGCAGTGTACTGGGAAAATGGATCGGGACAGGCACACGCTGACACGCAGAGGCGGCGGCACTGGACGATAACGGTGACGAACATTCAACGGCACACAGAGTAGCAAGCAGTCATCAGGTGATGGAAGAGCTGATAACAAACTACAACAACAACAAAAAAACACTAGTTGTAATCACAAGCACGCCACTGTACGGACCACACTGGAGGCAGCAAGCAGACTAGCAGGGGTGGGGAAACGAAGCACGCACGTACAGTACTACTACAACCACACCAGATGACGAGGGAGGGGGGGAGCGTACGACATGCGCGAGGCGGACCTACCGTACCGGCTCGCTCGATAGACCCGAGCTGTGTGAGACGCGACTGCGACGCGATGACGCGAGGTGGTTGCTTGGCTCGCTGGACGATGGCTCGGAGTCGGAGCAGGCTGCCGCCTTCGAGTTGGAGCTTGGGAACTCAGGCGGCGCCGGCTGGCCGGCTGGCTGGTGCAGGTGCAGGTGCAGCGTGCAGGAGCAGGAGCTGGACTCGTGGAGCTACTCGTCCGGCACTCGGTACGCGTCGGCGGTGATCTCGGTCAGCCACAGCCCCGGGAACAGCGACTGCACAAATGAAAACCAACAGCGCACACGATTGGTGTTAGTGGTTTTGGATCGCAGGATTATTATTCTTGCACACAACAATTATGTCAGCATAGAATATTTATCAATATTACTAGTGATGATGACTGATAAGCAAGCTTAAGGCGTATTGAGGAGATAAACAGAATCGTAAAATAAGAGAGGAATTGAATAAAGTACTAATTAATTAGAGTGGTTCGGACGGAGGGCGTGTGAGGGGCAGTTCGGGGAAATCGCCTTACATCGACATGCCGCTGCACGGCGCGCGGCCGCTTCCGGGGCCGCCGCCGCGGCCGGGCGCCGGTCAGCGCGTAGATGTCCTCCTCGATCTCCTCCGCCGTCAGGGACACGGAGAACGGGGCGCGCTTGCGCCGCCTCCGCGACGACAGAGGAGGAGGCGGGGACGGCGACGCGGCCCACGACCTGGCGGCGGCGGGGCGCCGACGCGTGCGCTCCCGCAGGTTCCACGGCCTCGCGGTCGCGGTCGCCGTCGCGACAGCGTCCGCTTGCGGGGGCGCAGGTGCGGGAGGAGGCGGAGGTGGCGCCCGGAGCTCGGTCTCGGTCTTGGAGTCCGTCCCGGGCCGCGGCGGGCTCGCGGCAGCCGCCTTCGGCGGCGGAGGCCGAGGAGCAGGCGGCAGCGAGGCGGCGGTGCTCCTGCTAGGCTGGGGCACGCGGAGCCGGTCCGCGGCGTCGCGCAGGTGGCCCATGAGCTTGGCACGGAGCGCCTCGATCCCACCGTCGTACGACTTGTCGTCCCCGACGGTCTGGCTCCGGCGGTGGGACGACGACGACCGGCGCCGATCGCGGGCGCCACAGCCGCCGCCGCCCGCGGCCGCGGCCGAGGCTACGACGGGCATGCTGCGGTGGGCAGCGGCTGGTGAGGCGGCCTGATGCGCCCACGGCTCGGCGAGGTGGTGCGGCGCCGCTGCCGGAGGCTTCGCCCGCGGATCTGCCGTGGCCGCCATGGCCGTCAACTCGGTCTCCGGCTGCGGCGGTTGGGTCGGGTCGGGTCGGCTGCGTGCGTCGCCGACGACGAGAGCGAGCGTGAGGTGAGGGGTAGAAGTAGGAGGAGGCGAGAAGGTTTGGAGACCACAGCCGGGTGGGGTCGCGCTCTCGCTCGCGTTTTGTTACGGGAGCCAGGGGGTGGTGTCGCGAGGGCAGCCTGGTAATTCTCCAGGCAGGACTCGCGGGTCGGAGCTTTCGGCCCTAGAGGACCAACAACTGCCTCGGACCATGGCCGCGCCGCCTCTTGCCCACTGACTCGTGGGTCCGCTCTGTCGACCATCCCCACGTGTCAATATCCGTCAGCGCTCGGCGCCCCGGTGACGTAGGGGCCGGCGACGGAAAGGGAATTGGACGGAAGGCCAGTCTGTTGCGCGAGCGCGACCACCAGCACGGCAGCACCAGGCGGGAGGCGGAAGCCGGCGTGTGTGGCAGTGTCCGTGAGGGCAAGGGGGGCGGGGCCCACGCGGCAGGGGGCGGGAGCGTCCATGCACGGGTCCTCGTACGGTACGTGGTGGGACACCTCGGATTTCCGGTGCGGGGCCCGCGGGTCAGGGGTGAGGGAAGCACAGCGACGCCCGCGCCCTGAGTTCCTGGACCTGGTCTTTCGCCGGCGCAGCGGTGACCGGCGGGCGGGACGGCCGGCTCGGGGAGATCGTTCGCGGCTTCGCGCGGTCCCCATCGGCGGCCCACGCCGCATACACACGCCGACTGAAGTTGTTTTTTTTTTTAAAAAAAAATGATAAGCCCGTTGATAAATTCACGCGAACAAGCCCTTTCCTGTTCCTGCTTCCTGCCCTGCCGCGCCCCGCTCACCATAAGCTGCTCGCGACTCGCGTGCTTCCGGTCAGCTGATGGCGTTTGCTTTTCTTTCCTGTCGTCTTACCTTGATCGGCAGCGGTTGCTCACTTGCTCTTCGTTAACACTTGCTACTCCCTTTCTAAAAAATTTTGCAAATCTTGTTATCCGAGTTTACGATTTGACTAAAATTTACGAAAATACTAATGATATCAAATAAATATTATAAATTAATTACAGAATGTATTTCCATAATTAACGTATTTATTATAGACATAAATGTTTATATGATTCCATATAAACCTGTCAAACAAAGAAAATTTGGCATGTTCTAAACCTAAATTTCTGGGGGTTTTTTGAGTAATATGCATCGTGGGCCATTGAACTTGTCTTGGGGTGCCACTTAGGTTCACAAACTCTCAAATCGTATTTCTGCCACCCTAATGTTATTTAAGTATGTCACTTAGGTCCATAACTCATCGGATCAAGGTTTTGGCCGACGTGGCGTGGACAGCGTGGCGCAAGTGCACGTGAGCCGCGTGTGAGCCTGCGTCGTCCGTCAGAACTTGCACCCCTCAAGGGCGCGCCCGAGCTCGCCCGCCTCGTGCAGGAAGTGCACGTCCTTGGCGCCGCTGAGGTACTGGCTGTCGATGAACACGCGCGGGAGCGCGGCGCCTACGAAGCCGGGCCCGAGGAGCTCCGCGAGCTCGGCCTTGAAGACGGCGTGCATGGAGACGTCGCGCTCGTCTTGGTGCACGCCCTAGCTGCGCAGGATGCGAGCACGGAGACCAGCCCTGCCCTCCTCGCGCGGCTGCTCACCGGTGAGCCCGTGCCCCGGCGACTCCTCGTCCCTACCCCAGCGCTCCCCGGCTCTGCTGCGGCCTGCACCGCGCCGTCGCCAGCCACCCCGGCCCTGCTCTGCTGGCTGCTGCGGACTGCCCTGCTCTGCTGGCTGCTGACGGCGCTCCGGCTTTCCTAGTTCCCTTCCCTGCAGCCAATCCAAGCGCACGCGCCGCAGCGGTGATGGCGGTCCGCCGGTGGAAGCCCTTCTTCCCGGCGTTCGGCGCCATCGACACGGCCATCGAGGCCGCTACCGAGGGCTGCTCCCGGGACAAGTACCGGCAAGTGAGGAGCGACCTCGTGGAGATGCTCTGCGATTGCGATGCCGCGGGCAGCGACGACGACGTTCGAGCGGAGGGGCTCTGCCGGCTGCTCGACAGGGCCATCGCCGAGGCGCTTCTGACGCTGCGGGCGATCCCGGTCCCAGTGACGCCGACCATGCTGGCGGCCACCGACGTCGCCAAGGACGTCGGCGGCCTGCTGAGGCATGAGGCTGGGTGGGTGCGCGCCCTCGCGCGCGGCATCTTGGCCCAGTGGAGTTCGTCGACCGAAGTCAAAGGCGCCGCCTTGGACACGCTGTTGCAGATATTGTGTGAGCACGAGGTGGCCGCTCCAGTCACCGCATGCATCTGCAGCGGCCCTGAGACGACAGTTCTTCAAGCAGATAGTATCAAGCAAGCCGCCAAGATCTCAGCACAGGTCGAGGAAGATCTGATGGAGCCGGCCATGAAGAGTAGGAGCCGAGTTAGCAGCTGGAGATCGACGGACTGCTCTGCTGCGGCCTGCACCGCGCCGTCGCCAGCCACCACGTTCGCCTCCTTTATGCACGCCACCACGTCGGCGCTCGTGAACCCGAGCCGCTGGAGCGCCGTCAGCCGCCATGGCCACGCGCCCGACTCCGTGCCGAAGCACGGTGGGAGCACGCCGCCGCACAGCCCGGACAGCCCGAGGCGTCCGCCAAGACGTGCCGCGACATGGAGCTCTGCGTGGCGGGCGTGCTGGACCAGGGCACCGCGGCGGACCTGCTGGGCGTCGCGCTCGACGGCGCCGGGGAGCGCGTCAGGAACGACGACACCATGCGCCACGTCGTCGCCGCGTTCGTCGAGCGCCAGCAGCGGCAGCCGCAGACGCAGGAGGGCCGGCGGGCGTCCCTGGCCGGAGCAGGAGATAGCGACGAAGGAGATCGAGCGGGAGAAGGTGTGCAGCGTCATGGACCCGCTCAGGCTGTCGTACCAGGCGCGGCTGCACGCGTCACAGAACAAGCGGCTGCCGTTGCATGCCGTGCTCAGCGCGCTCTACTACGACCAGCTCAAGCTCCGCAGCGCGGACGGTGGCGGCACCGGTTTGCGACGCGGAGGGAGGGTGGGAGACACAGTCGGCCGCCGGGAAGGCCCGTGCGCAGGCGCGGGCGGACTCGTCGCTGGCAAGGGAGAACGAGGCGCTAAGGTCGGAGCTGGCGCGGACGCGGGCCTACGTGTCGGGGATGCAGCAGCACAGCAAGGGGAGCGGGGCGAGGCTGTCGTCGTCGTCGTCGTCGTCGCTGGTGCCGGCGGCGGCGGGGAAGACGGCGAGTTTCTTGGTGTCGGTGTCCCGGACGTTGAGCCGGCTGAACCCGTTCAAGGGCGGGTGGGCCAAGGACACCGCCAGCATCGTCGACGGACGTGACAGAAGTGCCATGCATGTGCCCAAACCAGGCTCACGCGTGGCTCACGTGCGCTTATACACAGTCAGCGCCACGCTGCCCACGCCACGTCGGTCATAACCTCGATTCGATGAATTATGGACCTAAGTAGCATACTTAAACAACATTAAGGTGTCAGAAGTATAATTTGAGAGTTTGTGAACCTAAATGGCACCCCAAGATAAATTCCAAGACCTACTATGCATATTACTTTTTTTTTTGACAGATTGAGTACCGTACTAGAAAAGATGAAAGTCTCGCTAACTAATTAATGCTGGTTTGGCGTGAAGCATACTATAACAATTTTGGTGATACTCGCATATGGAAAACGACAAAATGTAAACTATTTCTCATGAATTTTACATAGTAACGTTTTGATTAAGGAGCACTAGCAATTGCTTAGGGTCGGCTGATATTAAAGTCGGATGGAGCTATTTTTATTATAGAGAGAAAAATACTATAAAATCTAACTGATAAACACCCTAATAAGCACGGCATAGCTGAATGCACAAATAAAATAATACTGTTACAAACAAGGGCACCACGTTGACCCATGAGTATCCAGTCCTCGGCTTTTTCACCACTTCAGCTGAAAGCGCAGCGAGGGTGAGTCAGATCAGTACGGAACAACTGGCATATCTGTTCAGTGTTAAAAAAAAAAACAGAACGGTAGAAAGTACTCTGCTTACTAAAGAATATAATTATGGAATCTGTGCCGGTCACTTTTTACTTTGACTAAATTTATAGTAAATAGTATTAATATTTATATCATCAAATAAATTCGTGATAAAAATATATTATACAATTAATCTAACTATACTTATTTTGTATAAAAAAATATTAGTACTTTTTAATATTATTTCAGTCAAAATTTAAATTGGTTGACTTCTGGATAATTGAGAATTACAGAGTGAAAAATAGTGGAGCAGGATCGTTCTCATTCTGGCATTGTTAAAGGGGTCGCTTTCAGCAATGACTGCTGACAGAACAAACATTCCAGTACACGGGAATAATAATTGGGAAATCATGGTGGCCTAGCGAGCGTCACACACATCTTCTCTGCGCTCTCCCCTTTACTCTATCTGGGAACTGGTTTCTTTTTTTTTTCACCGTCGTAGATGAACTCAGTTCCCAGCACGCGATCCAGATGAACCACTCGTCGTAGAGTCAAATGCAATTGGTCCAACCTTTTTAAGAACGAACCATCCCCAGTGGGCTTGGCTGCCGCTTTATCTGATCTGGAACACTGGAACTGCAAAGACCAGCATATACAGTCCTATTTCATCTCGAAGCAGGTCGATCAGAGTGAAGCCAACCACTGTCCTATTCTGTACTTGCGTCTATTATATCTTTCATCACTTCTGGGTCTCGTGTAATCTTCTGCATTGATTTCAGTCGATTACCTTCTGCACTGCATCAGATTTTTCTGTCATCATGCAACAGCAGCACTTTTACTCTGTCCGTCAGTCAGTTCCGGGTTTTGATCTCGCAGAACAGACACTTCCATGGCTCTGGCTCCCAAGTGAGCCATGTACCACGTTGTTCTTTAAATCGGCAGCGTTTTTGTATCTGCTTCGTTTAAAAACAGTGATGAAAGATGGAGAATCTGCAACTGCATTTCTCGCCGAAATAAATCAGAGGTTTGTGATTCTTCGCCTGCAACACTAGCATCAAGGATTGACCATAGAGCAAAACAAAAAAAAATCTGATGGAAATCGGTAGTAAGCAATCCACATTCACTTAGGAAAGAACCCAACCAACATGCGTACTGTTAGGGTTTGGCATGTACATGTTCATCAATTGCACGACTACCCACAAGACGAAGAGCCAGTTAGCCCTAAATCTCCTCTTAGCAACACTGATGAGCCGGCCATTACTCGATCAAGCTCCTCGGTTGGAAATCCATCTCCTCCTCCTCCTTTTGTGCTTGCGCGGCTCAGAATCCTCCTTTCTGCACCCTCAGGAAGGAGAGTCGAATCAATCGGCGTCCCAAACCTCCCTCCCAAATAACAGATTCCGGCGAAATTAAAGATGGGGTTTTTAGGCGTACCTCGTTCACCTTATACCGGTCGCGGGTCACCTCCGTCAGCGAACTCCCCGGGCAAAGCGTCTGCGCCAGAAGAGGAGAAGAAGACGAAGCACGATCAGTAACCAACCAACTAACAAACCAACGAACAAACGAACGGAACTCAGATGAAAGATTCTGCGATCGCGGTTAAGAAATCAATCAAGAATATCGGCATTGCCGAGCACGCACCTCGATTTTGCGCTGGACGCTCTTGGTGCGCTTCCTGGGCCGGCGCGGCGCCTTGCGGCCGGTGATCACGACGAAGTCGGCGTCGATCTCCTGACGCGTCAGCGCCACCGAGAACCCGCGGCTGCCGCCGCCGGCGTCCGTGCTCCCGAGCTTCCTGGCCGGCCGCGCGTCCTCCGCTCGGTAGTCCCGCCACGACGTCCGCTCCCGCAGGTTCCACTGCCTCCGGGGAGCTTCCTGCTGGGCCTCCTCCCCCGCCACGGCCGCTCTCGCCGGCGATCGGGGCCCGCTGTCCTTGCCACCCTCGGTGGCGGCGGCGGCGTTGGGCTCGGCGGCGGCGACGGGGGCGTCGTCCGTGTCCGTGTCCCGGTCACGGCAGAAGGCCATGGGCTTGCGGCACCCCCAGCCGGCGGGGAGGTCGAAGCTGCCGAAGAGGAGCGGGTCCCTGGGCCGTGACGAGGACGCGGCCGGCGACGACTCCATTGGGCGTGCCGAGGGGATTAGAGAGGCGGCAAATGCGTGCGCGCGCGCGGGGGCAGAGGCAGAAGGCAGAGAGCCCCAACTGCAACTAGGCTCGCAATTGCATGTGCTCGCCTATATATGGATGGAGGAGCTCTTGGGTCCGGTGGCGCCGCTCGATTCCTCGCTAGAATCTGCTTCGCTGATCGGATTAGGAAGAGACGAGGAGGGGAGAAAGCCTGCAAGGCTGCGACGAGGCGAGCAGGGCAGGGGGGACGACGAGCAGACGCCGCGCCGCGCGGTTTCCTCTTCTCGGGTTGTGGGGATTGGGGCCTTGTGTGTGGGGCCTCTGGAGTTTATAGGCTCCACCCGAAGGCGAGTGCGGCTCGGTTCGGTTCGGTTGCGCCTGGCCCACCGGCTGCGACTGTGATTGTGGTGACGCCAGTCGTCTAGAGCGTTGGATTCTGATCTGACGGCTGTGGGTGTTGGTGGCAAGGCAATAGGGGCAAATGGCACGACCGGTTTAAGGCCGCCTTCCCGTCTTGAACGCATCTCCATCAAATCACTCTTTTGAGAAGGTTTCATCTCGAAATGGAGATAAATGAAAAAAAAGGGTTTTATGATGACGTGCATGAGACATGTATTTTTCATCAAATCAAGGCTTTTGTGGTTACAATTTGTTTCTTTTCTCTACCTCTATGGATATACACAGCGATGCCTTTGCTCTATCACTATACATGAACCGTCACGTTTTGTGTTTAGTTATAACGCTTCCGGGAGATTGATATACGTTTTTGTGGAAGTTGCCACACCAAAAAGAAATCAAGTGCTCGGTAGCGTTGTGCATCTGTTGTAGCTTCACAATGACGACTTTGCCCTGTCACTATACATGTGTTCGGATGAACTATCAAGTTTTTGTCATAGTAACGCTGTTCGAAAGATCAATATGTGTTACCATAGACATTGCTGCGTCAAAAAGAAATCAAGTGCTCGGTGCCTTGCGCTTGCTGTAGCTTAACAATGACGACTTTGGGCTATCACTATACATGTGTCGAGATGATCCATCACTAACGCTTTCGGAAGATCGATATGTGTGTACTATGGATGTTGGCACGCAAAAAAGGAATCACGTGCTCGGCATTATGCATTTGTTGTAGCTTCACAATGACGGCTTCGTCTCTCCCCCAAAAAAACAATGATGGCTTTGTCCTATCGCCATACATGTGTCGAGATGAACTATCACATTTTGTTATAGTAATGCTTCCAAAAGATCGATGTGTTACTGTAGACATCGTCACACCAAAATGGAATCGATGCTTTGCATTTGTTGCAACTTTGGCTATCATTAACTTTTAACCCCGAGCATCTAACTTTTGTGGCTTGTATTTTGGCGGCAAAGACGGAAGCGCAAATCCACAATCCACATCAATGAGAGTTTCTTTGGTGGAATCAGAATGCATATAATGTGTGGCGTCGAGTCACACTATTTTACTAGCATACAGAGCATTCGGTTATCCTTTCATGTATCCTTTAAATACACCATCATCTTCAAAAGGTCTCTATACACTGTTCGTATCCATTGCCGATGAATATCATTGAGAACCGACTAATCGATGTAGCCATTTTAACCGAAAAAGTCATAATCGTTTTCTCTCGTGATCTATGTGGTGAAAACTCTGGTTTTATTCGGTGGTCGGTGGTTTCTTGGGTCTTAGGTGGCGTTAACCGATTTAACTAGTCCTTTGTGACTATTATATATACTATTAAGGCCCCATTTGGATCTTGGAATTGAGTTCATTTTAACAATTATAATTTAGATACATATTAATTAAGCTAATATGATTGTATATGGATTATATTTGTATATTATTGTTGGCTATATGAGAAAGATACTTATGTGTTGCATTTCTACCGTATGGGAGTGAGTTGAATAGCGTGTTATAAGTTGCAAAGTAGAAACATAGCATGGCGATCTATAGAATCAATTTCAGATGAAACACTTGCAACATACGTCTGAAACAGCTAAAACACCTGCAACATACGTCTAAAACACTAGCAAAACACCAAAAAAAACTTGAAAATAAGTGTGTAGCCATTGCAAACATTGCAATATCCAGATGGAAAAACTTGCAACATACACATATGTCGGGGACCAATACTAGGGTACCCGAAGAGGAGGAGCTAATTACCATCAACATTGACTTATCCAAGCAGTCAAGAGCGCGACTACAGCTCCAATCGACCCCCCGACGCGCAAGCTCCTCTTCTTCCGGCCTCTGGGAGAGGGCACCGCCTCGCCCGACCTTTGGGTTTGTGTTTCGCCTCACCCAACCCTTGGGTCTGCGCTTTGCCTCGCTCGATGCTGAGGCTGTGGGCTCCGCCTCGCCTGACCCTTAGGTCTGCGCCCCGCCTCGCCCGACCCCGAGGCCACGTGCTCCGCCTCGCCTGACCCTTGGGTCCGCTCTCCGCCTCGCCCGACCCTTGGGTCCACGCTTTGCCTCGCCCCGCCTTAAGGGTAGGACTCCGCCTCGCCCGACCCTAAGGCCACAGGCTCCGCCTCGCCCAACCCTTGGGTCTATGCTCCGCCTCACCCAACCTCTGGGGGAGGACTCCGCCTTGCCCGACCCCGAGGCTGCGGGCTCTGCCTCGCTCGACGGAGACCCATACCACCGCCAACCACTCCAGGTCCAAGCGTATGGGCCTGAGTCAAAGTTCTGACACCAGGGAAGAGACCGGCACGCCCTAATGTAAACCGTGGCCTTGACGGGCCATACCAGAGGATTCACATCAAGAACAGCGTCGGGCGTACCGGTGCTATTCTGCCTAACCCCTATACGAACACTGATGGGCGCGTCAGTTCACCATGACATTTGCTAGGATGGAGTGGAGCGCCATGACTGGCATATGACGCCTGCGCATGGCGCTAGTGACAGATAGGACCGTGACATGAAGCCATCTCTGCTGACATCTATAGGGTCTTCGGGACCCGCATGATGGAGAAGAAGGACCCGACGATCCTAAAGGCCTTCGGCTCTCTCTCTCTCTCATTCTTGTTTTTTCTCCGCTGTAACACATGCTTTCCCTTGGCCAATAAAAGGGAAAGCAGGGCGTCCCACAAGGGGCATTGTAACACATCACATTGATTTAGGCTAGATCCGATCGAACCATCATGAACCCATCGAACCCCGAACACACATGGCTGAGTAGCAACCGAGCTCTCTCAGCACCCGTTCACTCCTTTCACCAGAGACTTTGGGACATGTCCCTCTCTCGCCCGTTTGTAACCCCTACTATGAACTTTTAGTGTTAGTAACACGAGCAGTAGCAACGAACTAGATGTAGTGACATTCTGCCCAAACCAGTATAAACCTCGTGTCCTCTAAGCACACCATTCAAGCCAGACGCGCAATATTAGAAATTTACTTACCGGTGGCAACTCGAAACACCGACAGTTGGCGTGTTAGGTAGGGGCCTTTTGCGCGTCTTGACTTCCACACTAGGCCTCGGATGGCTAGTCACAACGTCAGCGGGGTCCTAGGCGCGCACGTGTGCTTCGGGGACCTAGACTTCATCGTCACGACAAAGGGAGAGTTGGCGATGGCTCCCGTCGTCGTCCGATCTCTCCACTCCAGCCGGCCTCGACACGATCGCCGAGGCGCTTGAGGAGCTGCAGCAAGACGCACCGGAGGCCCACGCCCATGGAAGCGACCAGCTCCTCGACTTCGACTATGGGAGGTTAGAGCACTAGCTCGGTGCCTTCCTAGGACCCCGACCGTCCTAGGAGGACCTGCGCCACCTCACCTTCTCATTCGCCAACATCATGGCATAGCTTGCTGGAGGGGAGACACTCTCTCCGGGATACCTCATCCAGAGCACCTCGACAGCGTTACCGTTCGGTCTTCGCAACGCCACAGAGACCGATGGCCACCCTATGGTGCAACGCATGCCTCCATCTCCCGCCAACGACGATTTCGTGGGAATGACCGAATATGTCATGGAGTCTTTCCACGACCTCCTCGCGGGAGAATCGGAGTCGCCCTCCAGCTCTAACTCCAACAGGGGTAGCCATCACCCCTTTCGTGAGTGTTTCATGGTGGGTACCCCTGAGGGATACGTCAAAAGCATCCACAAAGAAGAGGCTACCCCAACGAATGACCTCGATGATGAGGTTGGGGGAGGGGATGCAGGGGCCCCGCCTCGCCTATGGGTGGAGCAACTGAAGGCACAACAACAAGAGCTCGAGGAAGCACGACTCCAGCTCGAGCAGAATGCGTAGAGCTCGATCGAGAGATCGAGCACCACGGAGACGATGGGCGTGCACACGCCATGGCCCGCGATGTGAATCGGAGGATCATCGATGACGATGAAGCACTCCCGCACTTCGCCCAAGCAAGCTAGAACAACGCCGCTGCGGTGGCCTTGCTCCAAGGACTTCTAAGGCCCGCAACGCTCGAAGACCATCGGGCCCATTGTGAGATTCGCACGCTACTTGAGCGTGTGGCGACACAGCAGACCGAGAGCTCATTGTCTTAGCGGCATAGCAGATCGAGAGCTCACGAGCTCAACGCCAGCCAGTGCACGCCCTCAGAGCGACCCGACAAGGACACGTCAGTCCACCAAGCGCCACAAGGTGGTAGGCTACGTACCGCGGTCCCAGTACATGAGCGTCTCGGCCTCAACCATGACACGTGTGACACCCTCAACGCCCTCAGGCGTGCCCACGGTGATCCGAGGGAGGGAGCTAGCCACGGCTACCACCCTTGTCATGGTGGATGCTACGACAACGGTGAGGACCGAAGCCCGATCCCCAACCTACTGGGACCTTAGGCCTTCGGCTGACACGTCCTCAACGCCGCCTTTCAGCCACGGTACCGACCACCAACCAACATCCCAAAATACTCTAGGGAAATGAACCCCAGACTGTGGCTCGAGGATTATCCTCTTGCTTGCCAAGCCGGTGGAGCGGATAATGATGATTTCATTATCCGCAACCTTCCATTGTTCCTGGCCGATTCGGCACGAAC